GGACAGTCTCGGGAGGGCGACAGGGGCCCTTGAGCCGCGCGTGGGAACCTGTCCCTCCCCGGCCCGGCTGCTGACACCCCGCCCCACGTTGCTTTCCAATCCAGGCAAACACTCCGGAGCACGGGCAGGTCCCCTGGGCACCCACGTCTCCCGTGTGCAAACGCCCCTCTTTGCACACGCACACACACACACACACACACACACACACACGCACACCCGCCCGCCTAGCCCCGCGGCCGCGCGCGCCTGCAGGAATCCCCCCAGCCACGTCCCGGTTTCATTGTCAATCAGAGGAGAGACAGAATGGAAACAGACAAGTCAATAAATCAAGTCTGGAACGGGCTCTGGCGTTGTCTGTCACAAGCCCCCTCCTCCGGGCTGCCGGGCTCCAGCGCTGGGCCTTTCGTAGAGATAAAGCCAGTTCCTCCCAGACCTGTTGGACCCTGAAGCCGAGGCTCCCCTGTACCCTGGCAAGATATCCCTGGTTGGTCGTTTCAGGGAGGCGAGAGCCAAGTGGAGCCACAGAAGGGAGGAGGCTCCAAGTTAGCAGGACGCGGTGGATGGGGAAACTGAATTCCCTAGGATCCCCAGGACCTCAGGGCTCAAAACGTTTGTTAAATTTCTGCTCTGAGCAAGTTCTAGCACCTCTCCAACTTTAATGTGAACGTGATTCTTCTCCTGGGGGATCTTGTTAAACTAATGTTCTGATTTTTCCTTTGTTTTTCAGATAGGGTCTCTATTTGCACTTCAGGCTGGCCTTGAACTCGCTGTAGCTCAGGCTGGCCTCAAACTCAATAGCAATCCTTCTGCCTCAGCCTCCCCAGTGCTGGGATTACAGCTGTGTGCCACCACACCTGGGCTGAACCGTAGGTCCTGATTCTGTGTCTGGTGAGAGTGCAGCCCGGGACCTGATGGCGTGCTGAGGAGTCCGAACCGCAGAAGTCTGAACAGATCTGACATGCCTGACTTTGTGAGGTAGGAGAGAAAACACCTGTGGGTGTGACCTAAAGGTGTTACAACGCAGATGTCAGTGGGGCTCCCACTGTGAGGCAGGAGCACTTGGAAAGGAGCAGTGTCGAACCCGTCCTGGGGCCATGCACTTGAGGGGTACCCAGGGTACAGGAGTGCACCCTTCCCGGAAGGCTCCCCTGAGATGCAAAGGGTTGCAGGACAACTGGGATTAGGGTTCTATTGAGAACAGGGGTCTTCCGGTCACCTAGTACACGCCTGTCCCGGGCACCTGCTTGACAGATGTTCAGTGATGAAGACAGTTTCTTTTCCTAGTTTCATATAATCGTGATTGTTGGGTGTTCATCATTTCATGTACTTTTTTCTTAACATTGTGTACTGATTTCCTCCATTTTTGTTGTATAGCCTTTATTTTTTCTTCTTCAAACCTCCAGAAGAAGCAGAGTGTGGCACTGTGTGTCTGTAATCCCAGCACTCAGGAGGCTGAGGCAGGAGGATCACTGAGAGTTCAACACCAGCCTGGGTTATATAGTGAGTTCAAGGCCAGCCTGAACTACATAGTGAGACTGTCTCAAACAAACAAAACAAAAAATGACAACAACAAAAAGAAAACTAAAAAAGAAAATAAACCTCCAGAACAATTCAAATAAAGTACAATGGAAATTTGTATGTCCTAGACTCTTCATTTTTAACATTTTGCCATATTTATCCCATCCTTTCCCCATCTCCTCCCTCCTCAGTTGGTAGAAATATTTCCTAAAAATAAGAAATTCTGTAGGACCCAAGGCCATTATTATACTTAGGAAAATTAGCACCTGTTTAGTAGCATTACCCACTATAGAGTCCATATTAAATCTGTCGGCCTTCTCCCAAAATGTCCTTTCTAGGTGTTTTTCTCAGACTAGATTCAATCGAGGGCCAGCTGTGGTGGCGCATCCCTATAATTCTAGTTCTCGGGAGGCTGAGGCAGGAGGATTGCTGCAAGTTCCAGGCCAGCCTAGGCTACATAGTTTAAGGCCAGCCTGAACTACATAGCGAGACCCTGTCTCAAAAAACAGAAGCAAAAACAAACAAAAGAGGTCTCTTTAGTCTATCTTAATCTTGGGCAGTCCCATTTTCTTTTCTTGCTGTTCGTTTTTCATGACATTTATTTATCATATTGAACTGTCCAGGTCCATTGTCACCTAGAAAGTCCCACATTCAGGGTTTTCCCGTAGTTTCTTTGTGACTAGATTCAGGTTAGACGTTTCTGGAAAGAGCACTGCATAGAGATGTCGTGGATTTCCCAGTCTGTCACACTGGCAAGACTGTAATTACCATTTGTCACCTCCTCGGTGACGTTAGACTTGATCACCAGGGAAGTGGAAGCCCACTGATTGCTGCACTTTATTTAAAGGGAGCTGCGGCACTGGGGGTGGTGGCACATGCCTGTAATTGCAGCTATTGAGGAGGCTGAGGCAGGAGGATAGTGACCCCAAGGCCGGGCTGGGCTACATGGTGGGACCCCTCAGATAAGGACAAAAAGGGCCGGGGATTTAGCTCAGTGGTTTGGTGGCCTGCCTGGCAAGCGCAAGGACCCGAATTCAATCCCTGGTACCAAAAAAAAAAAAAAAGGACAAACCCCAAAAGTGAGTAGTTGGCTTCCAGAGTTTTACCAGGTGGTTTAAGCCTGCTGAAGATCTGTGTTTGTGGCTCCCCAGGGGTTCCCCAGGTGACCCCAACATTACCATTCCTCTGCACTTGTCAGCTGGTGTTCTGTGAGAAGTGGCTTTTTCAGTCTTTTCTAACCCCTTCTCTCTATCTCTCCTAACCATGGACTGAAAAATTAGTCTTTTGGAGAAATTACTTATTTATTGTGCAGTACCGAGGTTGGTCACACCGAGCTACAACCTCAACTCTTTTATTTTTTATTTTAAAATAGGGTCTTGCTAAATTGCCCAGGCTGGCCTACCTTCTATCTCTCCTAACCATGGACTGAAAAATTAGTCTTTTGGAGAAATTACTTATTTATTGTGCAGTACCAAGGTTGGTAACACTGAGCTACAACCTCAACTCTTTTATTTTTTATTTTAAAATAGGGTCTTGCTAAATTGCCCAGGCTGGCCTAGAACTTGCAACCCTCCTGCCTCAGCCTCCTGACTTACTGGGACTACCAATGAGTACCACTGTGCTGGACTTGGAGAAATTGTTTTTTATTCAACATAGAATTCATTGTCATCAACCAATAACAAATGCCGGTGGTGCTGTGGGGAGAAAGGAACCCTTCGCCATTGATGGTGGGAGTGCAGACGGGTGAAACCACTGTGGAAATCAATATGGAGATGCCTCAAACAACTGGGATTAGAAGTCCCATTTGACCCTGATATTCTCTTGCTGGGGATCTTTCCAAAAGAAGTAAAAGCATCATACCACAGTGATATATGCTTACCCATGTGTATAGTGGCACAGTTTGTAATAGCTAAAACTTGGAAACAGCCCAGTTGCCTATCAACTGGAGACTGGATAAAGATGTGGTTTTTCCATAAAATGGAGTACTACTCAGCCATAAAGAAAGAGAAAATAGAATCATTTATAGTTAAATAGATGCACATTGAGGCATCTTAAGTGAAATAAATAGGACACACATGTGCAAATACTGAATAGTTTCCCTGGTGTGAAAACTAAAAGTGTAAATAAGGTTCAAATTGTTTAATTGATAATATGAAATAGGAAGAAAAGGACTAAAGGAGTAGGGGAAGTGGGAAAGGTAGAGGAAAGTAAAGAAGGGAAAAGAAAAAATATGAGAAAAGAAAAAAATGGAAACAACATCTTTGTAAATAGGGAAGGGAGGAGGAGGTGAAGGGAGGGCAGGGGTATGGGGGAAAAATGAGAACCAAGACCTGTCATGTAAAGGTACAAGATCCCAATGATGAATGTAACTGTACTGTGTACATTAAAAGTATGAATAAACTCAATGAAAGAAAAAAAAAAGAATCCATTGTCATGATTGCATCATCTTTTTTTTTTAAATACTCAAATTGTCCCACATTTGGTCAATGGCCGCTGTTTCTCTGGGGCTTGGTGCCATCACTCGCGAGCCTCTTACTTGCTCTGTAACTCTTGATGTTCTGGATTTACCTTGCAAACCTGGAACCAGACATCACTTTAAGGGAACCTTCTTTCAGTTGGAAATAGTATTTAAACATTTTTTTTTTTTTGGAAATGGTATTTAAAACTGACTTTATGCTTTTTAAATGGCTACTTAATATATCGTGAAATGAATATACTTCTGTTTAGTGCAACATGCCCTCATTTGTTGAGCATTTAGAACATTTCCAGACTCCTTCTTTCGAAACAACTGTGCAATGAACACCTTTATGCAGATAGCTTTCTCTGTTTGGGATTATTTCCTTTGGCAAGGTACCACTTGAGGCAGTATAATTCCTCAGGCACATTGCCCAGTTGCTCTCATGAAAGGATTTAAAAGCCAACAATGGCTTCTAGTCTAACCTAGTCATTTTGTCTCCTTCCTTTTCCCCCTGGACGTCCTTCTAACGCCTGAGTCTGATCTCCCCCGCCCTTGAAGTCCTCTACCGAACCTTCCTAACGACACTCTCGGCCCTCTCCCTCGGTGTGTAGTGTCACTGCTTCCCTTCACCCCAAGGCCCAGTTCCGTGTCACTTTTTCCCCAGGACATCCCGTTCCCTGCTTTGGTCCCTAGCGCTGCTCCTCGCCTGTCTCCAGCCTTGTCTTGGCCCGGTTCCTGGACAGGGCAGCTGTACGTTACCTTCCTTCCAAGGTTTGTACTCCTTTCCTTGGGAATCGAGATGCTGGGATGGAGCTTGAGTGGGTTGTTTTGTTTTCCTACATAGTTTTGATCAACTCAGTGTTTCGTTGCCAATATTTACACATTAGGAGATCTCTCAAAAACGTGTCCAGATTTCTGCCTTATCTTGAAATATCAGGTGATCCAGTGCCATGGGCTCATATTCCAGACAGGGACAACGAGCAGAGCTCCAGTCAGTGGAATTATTTCTCCAGGTCATGGCCCTGGCAAGAGTAGAAAAAGGAAGGAAGGAAGGAGGGAGGGAGGGAGGGAAGACCTAGAGGGCTACATGTTACTATAAAAATGGGAGGCCATATTTTTAGTGGAATCACAGACTATATATAATATGAAGAGACTATGGTTCTTTATTAAAAGAACACAACATACAATCATAAAGCAAACTTGGCCGCTTCATTCCTTGGAATGGTTTAGGGAAAGGTTGTGTGTAGGATGTATGGTGCACAATCCCTCCGTCAAAGCACCTGAATTTTCAAACTTCAGTGGTTTGTGACTTCAGCTCGGTGCTGGCATTCAGAGAAGGGGGAGAAAGTGGCCGGAGAGTCTCAGGATGGATGACCAAGTCAGTGTCCTCTTCTATACTCCAAATTCAGGATGCATTTCCAGTCGGAAATCAAGGTGGTGCTTTTCCCAACAGGGCCCAGGTTCCCACCCCAAGGTTCTTTTATTTTATTTGACTTCTTATGAATGCAGTAAACAATTCCTTTCTTGGTCTCTCCATGCTGGAGACAGGGTGAAGGACAGGCCCAAGATGGGTAGAGGCTTCCTGAGGGAGTGTGTCCCCCCCAGCAAAATCTGTCACCTGGAATTCTGGTCACATCACATCATTTCAGGGGCAAATAAATAAATAAGGGAAGAGACCATTTGGGTTTTATGCAAAAAGCAACGAGGAGTATATTTGCATATACATATTTGTTTACACAGAGACTGTCAGGCAAGATAATACTGGAAACTGGCAATCAATAACACTGGACTTGTGCACAACTATTCCCTGTTTAGAAACCAACAGCCTAATTTAAATAAAAATGCATGAGAAGGGGAAGCCATAAAGTCAGGAGGGCACTGTTTTCCTGGTGTCGAAAGATTTAGACATGGATTTTCTGGAGGAGAGAGATTAAAACTGATCCGAAGCGGCGTTCACAGTAATAAATGAAAATGACGTGGGTGGGGGGCTCCGTGTGCAAGCGAGAGGCAATCAGTGGCTGCACAAAGTGAGCTGAGGTTCTTACAAACTGAAATAAAATGAGCTCTGGGAAGCAAAAAGACTACGATCCCCTTGCCGTGCCATTGTTCCCACAATGCCGTGACTCGGATTCGAACCGAGGTTGCTGCGGCCACAACGCAGAGTACTAACCACTATACGATCACGGCGAGCTACCGAGGACCTGTAGGAGCGGTTCTCTGAATGTCCTCTTCAACAACTCCAGCCCTACGTCACCGCGGGAGGGGTCACCGCGGGCGGGACCCCCCCCACCCCGCCTAGCCTGGTCGCGCAGGCGCACCGCGCTGTCTCTGGCTCCTCGGGCGCCTCTTTTCGGGTTTGGGCCCGGCGGCCCGGGGCGTGGGGGGCTCCCTGTGAGCGTGTTGCGGTTTGGGGGGCACCGCTGGGACA